GGGGGGCGGCCCAGCTGCTCCTCCAGGAAGTGGCCTGGGTAGGCTCCAACCCTTACCTCTGGCCATGAGTCTTGAACTTGACCCCCTTACACGGTGCTCACGAGCCCTGCTCCTGGAGAGTGTAGACCCCTTCTTCACGTGGGGGACACCGAGGCTGAGAAAGGCCCCCGGCCCCGTGCACACCGGTGGACACCACATTCAGTTCCACGGCACGTGCCGTTCACAGCGGTCCTTGGGCCGTGGTAGCGAGGGCCACGTGGCCACTTGTGCATCAGAGGCTGAAGCCACCAGCAGGCGTCCGTCCCGGGGACTGGTCCCCACGTGGAAGGCACGGAGGGAGAGGTGCCCAGCTGCTCCCCGGCTTCCCGTCCTCCGCACGCAGCACCCCTTCCGGTAACACCCCTAAGCCGCCGGCTGCAGAGCCCCGCCCGCTCCGCGTGGGTCTGGCCCAAGCCCCCTTCCACCTGAGCTCTGGGCTGCCCCCAGCGGGAAGACGGCTTTGGCAGAGCTAGTCACTCTGAGGTCACTTCAGGAAAGCGAGTCACGGGGGCTTGAGAGAGTCCCAGGATCCTGCACTGGGGGAGGGGCAGCAGGCTTCCTTCCTGTGTTTGCAGTAGCTCTGGGGACCCACGCTCTGTGACGGCCTCTGTCCGGGCGCCTGACCCACACTGAGCAGGGGCGAGAGCCAGAGGGCACGGCACGGGGGTCCCAGTGCCGGCTCCGCTCCCGCTGCTGTGGTCGCAGGAACCCCCAGCCTCACAGAGTCTGACCTGGAGACTCTCAGTGGGCCCTCGTCTGCTCTGTCCGGGAACCCTCCCTGGAGCCCCCTCCCCCACACCGTGGAAAGACATTTGGTCTTAATCATTGTGGTGTGTTTTTCCGATGATGGGGGCTGAGGGGGATGGTGTCCCCGGTGGCAGCTGAGCGGTCAGCCCAGACGAGAGGCAAACAACCCATGACTCAGGCGGGGCACGGCACAGCTGTGACCCGGGGGGCTGCTCCAGACACAGGGCGGCTCCCGGCCGAGGCCCCCCATTTGCCAGCTCGGCCTCGGCTCCCGGGGCTGCACCGCCGACCGAGGCGAGGCGTCTCGTCCCACGCACCCCGAAAGAGCAAACCAAGGGCACGGACCTAAACACCCTGCTGGCAGGTCGGGGAGGCCCCTGTCCCCCCTCAGCCCTGGGGTGAGCCCCATCACGAGCGATTATAACCACATTTCAAACCACAATGTTATACAAATTAGTAGTTTATTTGGCTTTTTAGTAGTACCGTTCCAAAGTTTAACTGGAAGACGAGCACAGAAGCTGCAGAGACATGAAGGAAAGTCACCTGCCAGCAGCCCCCCTGCCGGCACACCCCCTCCCGCCCCAGGCTGACTGCCGCCCAGGGCACCTGGGGAAGACCACGCGGCACAAAGCCAAGGGTGGGGATTTGTGCAATACACACGTTTAGCTTCAAAAAGGAAAACGCGCTGGCTATCTGCCTAGAATATTTCCTATATGGATACAATGGAGGAGAATCCAGTCTCGGTCCAGCCCCAGCGGGTGCTGGACAGCTGTCCGCATGGCCGCAAGTGACCAGGGAGGTGCCACCCGGGGAAGCAGCCCCAGCATGAGCCAGAGACAGGATGCCCGGGGCCCAGGAGTGGGGAGCCACGTCGTGCTCAGGTTTATACACAAATACGGGGAGCCGTACACAAGACTCGTTATATAAAATAGATGTACGTCACCTAGAAAAACCTCGATACAAAGTCTATAAAAATATAAACTGTAGTGAAAAAATATACAAAAGTATTAACATGTTCAACCCATGAAACAAAAACACATCCACGTGCAAGCCGGCAGGTGCCCCCCCAACACGTTGAGGGAATCCCCTTGGCCACGGTACACGCGTTTGGGCAAGAAGTGTCTCCACGAGACCCAGCCTGCAGGGGCCCTGGGCCGGTGCTGAGGCCGTCCCATCGGGACGCTGCCCGCCTGGTGGAGGGGGCAGGAGAGGGGGCCGTTCCGGGCCCTGTGGTTCTGGAGCGACGGCCCCATCCTGTCCCGTCCGGACCAGGCCAAGCTCCCCTCCTGCCCTCCGGACACCCAGAGGCCAGCACCCCTGGCCCGTTCCCCCAACCCCTCGGCTTTCACACCAACTTCCGGCCTCGGACGGACTGCCTGGAGGCAGCGGCACAGCCCGGCCAGCCGCTCCCTGAAACCACGACTCCAGCCACGTACAGTGGGAACCTGGGCCCGATCCAGTCTTTAAGATGCATCTTTCTGGGGCAAGACGGACAAAACCAGCAGCACCGTCACCTCCGGGAAATCGATCCGGAAACTACGGTCTGATCCGGCCGCACAGCCTCACCGCTGTCCCCAGGCCGGCAGCTGCGTGGGGGCCAGGGCAGGGGGTCCTCGAATGGCAGTGAGGACGCCACCAGCCACCCCCAGGAAACGAACAACGGTGCAACGTGTCTGATACCCGAAAATCAAGTCAACCAACCTACGGACGGAAACTCAGTCTGTGGAGATGCGGACCCGGCTTGGACCCTGCTCAACGCTGGTGACAGGACATCCCTACTTGGGAAAAAAGCGCTTCAAATTCCATCGGTTCAGCACTCAGGCTGCATCGAACACATCAACTAAGGGCTGTTTCCAACTTCTCCAGGTAGTGTAAATATCCCACTTGAAGTCATTTCTTTCCTATTTGAGCAATACTGTGCCAGGAAACAGTGTCACACGTCCGCATCAGGGACGGTCCTCGCTGTGATAAAGCAGAAGTCCACTTCCTTGGGCAAAGCCTCTCTCCGGGGCTTCAAACAGCTAGCGCTCCGTCTCCGGAGCTGCCTGGGTGGTGTGACCCCCTCGGCCTCGGGGATGAACAAGGACGCTGCCAGAGCGGATGCCCGTGGGCAGCACTGGGGAGGGGACCCGAGCGGTGCCCCAAGCCCCGGCAGCCGCCTCCCCCCACACCAGCAGGCGGAGGAGACCTCGACTGTCACCCGGAACCTGCACCACGGCCCTGCTCTGTCCCCTCTACCGAGGCCCCAGGGCAGGGCCTGCTTTGCGGGACGGCTCCCTCCACAGACGGTGACTCGGAGCCAGCCAAAAAGAAGGATTTCACAGAGATCTGCGCCAGGCAGAGGGCAGGCTGAGGGCAGGCGAGCCCAGCTGGTGCCCAGGAGGGAGTGTGGGCTGTCTGGAAAGCCAGGCCCTTCGCTGCTTGAAACGCCGTGCACGGAAGGGCCAGTGCTGTTCCAGAGTTGAGGCGAGGCCGCTTGCCCGCAGGGAAGGCGTGTGGGTTTTCTACAGGCCGCTTCTGAGCGTGGGACGCACTTGCTTTTCTAGGAAAGGCCCCTTTTCACTACCCTCGTGCCCCCAGAGCAGCCACACTGTGGCCCGGGAGTGCGCGAAGCACAGTGTGGCTGCTCGGCGGAGGCCCTCAGCCGCACCGGGTGCAGGAGGAGCGAGACAGGGAGGCGCCTGGGACGGGGTCCCGAGGGCGCGAGCCAATGACCAACCCAGCTGACACGTGAAGTAAACAGGGCCTGGAAAACATCCAGCCAGTTCACCTGGGGGCGCACAGACCACGCGAGCCGGGGACAGGCGCAGCCACGTGCCACGGCACGGAAGACAGTTGTAAACAGGACAAACCCCACCGCGAGTGGAAAGGAGAAAGTGCGGTGTGGCCCTGGATGTCTGCCCGGCAGATCTCCAGAGACCACGGGCGTTACATTCGGGCTTTTAAAGGAGCAGAGACGTCTCTGCGGTCACCCTTTGGCACACTTTGGTTGTGAAGGCAAGAGCAGCATCGTGGGGGGTGGGGACGGGGGACTCAGGTGTCCTCCTCATCGCTGACCAGCTCACCCTTATCAGGGCTGGCATCCCGTTCACGCAGGAAGTCCTCCCGGATGGCCTCCAGCTCCGTCAGCTCCAGCCGGACCTTCTCCAGGTGGTAGGCGCGCCGGTTCCGGATCTGGCGCAGGGGGAACGGGTTGAGGTCCCCAAAGGAGATACCGATCAGTTTCCTGGAAGGACACAGGACAGGCACGGAGCGTCAGCAGGGCAGGACACGGGATGGGACCCCAGCAGGTGTATCACCTGGAGGCCAGCCCTTCTCACGCACAGGCTACGGGGCTGGCCCTGAGCCACGGCCTGGACTCAGACACACGCTCGCTCTGTCGTGGGGCAGGTGACGTCCCTTCCCTTTCTGGTTTCTGATTCGTCGTCGATAGGCTGGGATAAGTTAGTGACCTTCCTGAGGTCTGGGGTCACCAGAGCTGCCACCACAACGCGCACACAAGGACAGCGCCTGGCACTTGCCTGTGACTGCAGGGCCGGCGAGCCTGAGCCTTCGGGACCAGCAGAAGGATGGCCCGGAGGGCTGTCCCGGGCCTGACCGGGGAGCAGCGGATACCCAGGCCCACCTGACCGGCACCGTCATACCCAGGAGCCACACAACGAGGCTCGAACACGTCTGCAGACAGATGTGCACTCTATGGGTTTCCTACTATCCTGGGATCAAGGCACTGATTTACAGTAAACGGTTTAAAATCACAGAAACGGGGCTGTAGCTGCTGGCCAGTGGTTTAGTAAGATCAGAATGAGAAGGTGCCCCAGGGCCTGGGGCCGGGTGCAGCCCCCGATTTATCCAGCCCAGGGGCTTCTCTTCCCAGCCACAGGGCCCTGGCGCACCTCCAGACCCAGGAGAGGCTGTGAGGACAGAGCCAGCGGCCACAGGTGGCCTGCCACCATCCACCCACGTGGGCTGCCTTGATGTAAGTTTATTCTAGAAGGTGTAACGTTAAGGGAGGGTGGCATTTCTCCCTACTGAATTTCCAAACACCTACTCCTTAGCCGGACTCCAGAGGACTCCCTGCGTGAGGTCAAAGGTCAGGAAGGCCACCTTCAAATGCCAAGCTTCCCAGACTGTTCTAGAACACAGGCACGTGGGAGAACAGGACAGGCCTGCACCGAGCCGTGCCTCCTACTGGGCTCCACCGGCCGGGGCCGCAGGGGTCTGTGAACGGAAATGTGAGCCCAGACCCGGGACCCGGGGCCACACGACCAGACCCTTTTCCTACAGCCACGAGTCGCAGACTCCACGCACCTGAGAGCTGGCCTCCAGCCCCCTCTATGGGAGGCAAACAACACTAGGTCATTTTCACAGAGCCTCTGGTGGGACCCTGCTGCCGGGGCCTGGTGGCCCAGCGGGCAGGGCAGAACACTCCGCTCTGCGGCCCGGTCAGCAGATGAGAGAGATCCCACGGTCAGCCCAGGCTGAAGGCCCCAGGGGCCCCGACTCGAGACTGGTCTAATCCGTTGACCCGCTGTCTCCTGGGCACACGGGACTCAGCACCTGCGCCCTCCTTTCTTATGGAGCCGCTCGGTTATGTGGAATTGCTGCCCTGGACCCACCGGCCTGGGGAGCTGAGTGAAACACCCGGGGCGCCACCCAGCCACGGGGCCTGAGTTCCTGAGGCCAACGGCCGGGCGGCTGTGCCCGAGGCCGCTCACGAGGTGGCGCTGCAGAGCTTGCTTGCGGGAGGCGC